TCTCAGAATTACTAAGTTAAAATGACTTTCTCTTGAGGCATTTTAAAATTTGTCTTCCACTTTGTTGCATAAAGGTGTTCTTTCATTCCTTGGAAATCGTAACTTAGTGAAGTATGATAATTAAGTGTCTTCAGCATTATGAATAACTAGTAGGGCAGGATGTTTTTCATGGGTGCATTGGCTACTTACTTTTAGTCTTAATTCCTGAATCAACTTTTACATTTTTTAAAAAGATTTCATTTGAGAGGCCGAGGGGGCAGGGAGTGAAAGGGAGAGAATGAGATCTCCCACGTGTTGGCTCATCCCCGCAGTGCCCACAATGGCTGGGCTGAGTCAGGATGGGGGACTCAGGAGACGTCTCCCATGTGAATGGCAAGACCCAGCCGCCTAAGCAGTCACTGTTGCCCTCTCTGGTCTGTATTAGCAGGAAAGTGGCATCGGAGTGAAGCCAGGTTTCCAACCCAGTGCTCCAATGTGGGATACAGGCAGCCTGATCCATCTCTTAGCTGCAGCGCAAAAAAAGCATCCCTGGGTCTCTTTTTTTTTTTCCACAGGACACTTCACTGAGCTATAGTCTATGTGCAGAAAAAGAAGCAAATTACCAATGCAAAGCTCTGTTGAATTCCATAAAATAAACAGACACATAAACTGTTACATTATAATAATAAAAAGAAAATGGAGAATTTGCAGCTGCTGGAAAGCATCTTTGTGCTTCCACTGGTCACTCCCCATTGGTCACTCCCTGCTGGTCACTCCCCATTGGTCACTCCCTGCTGGTCACTCCCCACTGGACACTGTCTTTATGTTAGGAATAACTTGGTTCCTTAGCTTTTATCTCTGTTAACATTGTTTTCCACGTAGAGAGGTTTAAATATTTCTCTCCCTTGGCTCTGGTACCCTGAGGATTTCTGTGAGCACTTTTGCTGAATTCCCAAGAACAAGAGGACAACAGTAGTCTCCTGTGTGAATCAAGTTTGAAAAATCTGAAGGACAAACCCAGTGGCTTGTGGTTGGCTTGGAAGCAAGCTGTCCTCCTCCAAGCAGGGAAGGGTGCCCATTTTTCTATGGACCCGGGCGCCCTCAGTAACTTCAAATCAGCCTGTAGTCACTTAAAACAGAGTTCTCTCACCCAATAGGGCGTCCTGCCAGCGTGAGCTGAGTCACCTGGATGGGACGGAAGGTCTCCTTGGGTTGGAGATCTGAGTAAGGGTTTTCCATGTGACAACCCAGAGAAGAAGCCCTGTTCACACCAAGGAAGCTATACTCTGCCATTCGAACAGGACCCTTACTGGACAACACACAGAAACGTGTTCTGTACTTGCACTGTCCCAGTAGTTTTAGTTCATTCACTCCTTCACTTTCAGTTGTATTTATTTAGTCAGTGTTGGTGATGGTTGCTTTTTTTTTCCCTTTACTTTCAATCTCGAATACATAGACGTTATCTAGACAGAATTTACTAAGTTGTAATATGTGAGTAGGGACATCATTGATTTCTCTAGCTGGTCAGCAATTATCTTCAAATGAATCATGAAATAATTCTTTTCCAATGATCTGAAATACCGCTCTGGTTGTGTACAAATGAGTCCAAAATTGTGTGTGTGTGTGTGTGTGTGTGTGTTTCTAGACTTTTAGTTTAGATCTGTCCATTGCCAATCCCATCCATAAATAACATAAGGGATTACTTTTCAATCACATTTTCATTTGGGTAAGGACAGATAGTTATAATACTGAGTCTTTCACTTCAAGTCTCTGTTTAAGTCTTTCATAAAAGTTTTGTAATTTTTTTCTATAGGTTCTAAACATAGTCAAAATAAGTTTATTCCCCCCGTGCTTTCTATTTCTATTCAGAATGATTAAGCTCATCGCCCTCCTGTATATTCTCTTACTGATGATAGCTGATTACTGATTTTGCTTATAGGAACTTTAAAGAGACTTTGTAAGTCTTTTCTTATGCTGAAAAGTTTTAGATTGTGTAAGTATACAAGGTGGGAGAAAATGAGCCAAGACAGTTTTAAGCAAGTAGATTCAAGCTTCCCCCCCATCCCACTTTCCCAGTAGCCCCAAGAACAGCCCCTGCAGGAGTCAATCTTGCCTCGCTAAGATCACGGAAAACCAGAGAGGTGAACCTTTTGTTCCCTGACAACCTATGGTTCTTTGACTTTCTCCCATGATAGGCATGTACTAATCCTGTCATACAGTGCTCATTCAACAGATGCTCATCAACTTAACACATCAGAAAATAAAGGGATAATTACATTCTGTTGTACTTTGCAGGTTGTTTAGAGTGGTGGTCACAGCAGGTGCGGTTGTCTCTTCCCAGCTTGACCATGAGAGCCTCTGCTGTTTCACCACAATGCAGAACACGCTGCTGTGCTTGAGCTAGATGATGTCGACTCCATTCAGGAATCTTTCATTTTTATTCTATGTAGATGCTTACGAGGAATGGATGGTGACGTTTACAAATGCTTAGGAGCACCTATCGGAACACTTTCCCTCCATCAATACTTGTCAAATCTTGGCATCAACACTCAGTGATTCAATTGCGATTTCCTATCAGAATAACCTCAGTTTATTTAAGAGACAGATGTTTCAGCTTAGTACTTTTCTGGAATACATGCATTTCTGTTTTAAGCTGTAATAGCTCAGAACTTTTTCTTCTTACTGGCCCTTACTGTGCCGGCTGCCCAGTTTTCTCACTTCAGCCTTTTCTCTTGTGTAGGAAACTGTATGTTTTGTGTATTGAAGTGTGGATTCGGGAAAAGTACTGGTTTCTCAATATGATGCCCTTACGATTTTATTTCTCTGTTGATTCAACTGTTACATAGGAGAGAAATTTAAAACACTCGATAGTTTTTAAGAAAGCTTTTCCCCCTAATTCTGGTCCTAAATATTAGCTTTATTGCATTATGACCCAAATATATCACCTATTTAGCTTTTGCTTTTTGGAATTTAATGAGATTTTTCTTTGTGACAATAATAGACAGTGAAATTTTGTGAAAGATTAGATAAGCGTTTGCAAAGATGAATTACACCGATAATGTCTTAAGGTTCAACATCAACTCAGAATTAACCAGTAGAAGGTACATTGTTAATATCATCTATGTCTTTAGTTTTGTGTCTTCATCGTCAAGGATAAAGTGGTATATCATGGTCTTACATCACCTTTGCCATTTGTTATTTTTCTCGCTTCTTCTCTCCCCATGATGGCCTGGAAAGGAATCTGCATGCTTGGAGTGCACCCCACCCATTCCCTGTCCCTCTAGGTTTTAGTTGCACAGCAAAATCCAAAGCCAGGCATGTGTCCGCTGGATATTTAGGGAGCATGAAGCCTAGAAATGATTTATATTTTTGATGTGAGTGCCTCATATAGCTTTTAGAAAGTAGGTTTTTAATTGTTTTATGGTTTATAACTTGAGCTTCTGTTTTCCTTTTTATTCATATTTACATCTTACATTTAGGCAATTCATTTTCTTAACATTTCATGTTAATTGTGTGAAACTTGGCTCATGTTAAAAAAAAATTTTTATTTTTTGCTTTTGCCTTAAGGCTTGTTACACTCTGTCTTCCATTATTACATTAAAGTATTAAAGTAAATACCTTCCACATAGAAAAAAACCAGACTTTTTCTCCAGGTAAACAAATTCAAAGATTAAATGTGGAAAAAGACTTACTTAATGGAAATATTTCTTTTTGTTTGATGTTGGGTACTCAGTCACTATGAATGATTTGTGCACAGTTCTCACTCCTCCAGCTGGAAATCTAAAAATCTGTTTAACTTCAGAATCCCTCTGAACTTCTTCTATCGCATAGCATAACTTGTTGTCACAGAACATTTGGATGCAAGCCACTTCGAGTTTGAGTTCCAGGGCCTCTGAGAACATGTATAAGTCATAGGGTTTCCAGTTCACTTGTTCACTGCTCAGAACTGGTCAAGAATTGCAAGTACCACAACACTTTAACAACATGATCAATAAAAGCTAGACTGTCATTACAGTATCCTTGACAACAGCAAGAAGCATGGGCAGAGGCTATGAATGTGAGACGATTCAGTCTTGGGCATTTGGAGCAGTGCTGATAGGCCAGCGGGGCTGCCTGCATCCCAGTGGAAGTGACTGTGTAGGCGTTAAGACTCTGTTCGAAGCACACCTGGGAGGCAGTGGGTGCAGGCTCGAGTAGTTGGGGCTGTGCCACGTGGGAGGGGTGAGTGGGAGATCAGCATTGAGCTTCCATTCCTGGCTTTGGCCTGGCCAAGCTCCTGCTGTTACAGACATCTGGGAGTAAACCAGTGAAGGTGAGGTTCTCTCTGTTAATCTCTCTTTCTTTCTCTCTCTCTCTCTCTCTCTCTCTCTCTCTCTCTCCTCATGCTCAAATATAATGTAAAACATTTTAGACCTTTTAAATGCTTGATTGTTTTACTATGCATCCCTTCCCCTACATTAAACTGTGGAATACTAAACTACTCCCACAGCAGATCAGAGTTGCTCATGGTTCTGTATTCAACTGTTTTCCAACTGCACTCTGAAATGAACAGTAATATGTTGTTACAAATGGCAGTAGCACTTCTGTGCCTATCTGGAAATGTCATTTCAGCAGCAGTCATGGGCTTAGGTTAGCATTCGCAGCCTTGAGGTTAGCGACTCTTGGGCACTTTTGTTCATTGCTCTGTGCTGGCTCCCTCTGAGCACCAACACCAGGATCCTGGTGGCTGAAGCAGGGAGGTAAAAAACAACTGGCTGAGTATGACCTACCTCTATGTTTCAACTATTGAGATAACTTTAATTCAGTGGCTGTTTTTTTTTAAACTTACAGCATTTGAGTGAATTGAGATTTTTGGCCAATCTGTGTTCTCTTAGTAGACAGATCTGCTCTAGTTACTTTTTGTTGCCAAAGCAGTACATGTCTCTTATTCTTTTGTATATCTTAGATGTATCCTTTTGATTTCTCTTTTTGTTTTATTATTCTTTTGTAACATGAATTGTATTTACTTTTTTCCCCTGTAGAACCTTGAAAACTGTTTTCAAAGCTCCAGGAAGTTCCTTTCAAGTGAGTAATGTTCTCAAACTTTTACTTTTGCTTCCTAAAGAAGCTGTTTTCATTGCTCAAAACTGCTAAGCTTCCGTCTGTCTAAAACTCACTGTGCATCCATTCACACTGTTAAATATTTTTTTTAAATGTTTTCCAATGGCTGCTTTATATCTTGGAATGAGTACATTTCAGAACTGTGTTCCTTCTAATTCTTTTCATGCCATGTTATGATTATTATTTATATTACAGCATGCTTGCAAATGCCCTCTCTTTGTTTATGCCTTGACTGTTTATATTCATGATCCAGTCTGTTTGCCTAAAATTACTTTGGGTGGCTTCTCTTGGGATTTCTCACTGTTTACTTGGAAACTGTCAACATCTTCTTGGAATCTGGCCTCAAGAGCTGGGTGAAACTGGTAAATACTGAGAACTTTGCAACGTAGAAGGGTGAGCAAGTAGAGAAAGAACTTAGGTCATTGGTGTACTGAATGGGAGTTTTCTTTCGTGTGGGTTCTCTGAGGTTGACTGAACCTGCAGATTTGTGACCCATGTTCCATATATGGCTCCCATAGTAGAGACAAATTGTTGCCTGTGTTAGGCTCCTTCCCTTCAGTTTCTGCTGGCAAGGATGGAGGAATGTTCTGTCTCCCTGAGTTGTCACCGACGGAGTGGATTTTCTATAGGTTCATTATCCATCTGGTTTTGGAACAAAGCCAACAGTCCAAAGGCTACTGACTGTGTCTCTCGCGGAGGGGGTTATTCCCCAAGGCTCTGTCCATCTCCAGATGAGCGTCACCAGTGACTCAGTTCAAAATGCAGCACCTTGTTTTCATCACCAGCCTCGTGCCTCAACAGGAAGATCAGCAAGATCCCTTTCTAAAGAGATCTGGGTGACCAGTATTCATTTTGGAGCTTTAGCTAAGTATTCACTGAATGCTTGGCTAAAAAAGATACTTAGTCCAGTGGGAACTGTTTTACAGGTCTGAATAAGAGCATTGTTCTTAAAACCCTCCTACTAACTGTTCATCTTAGAAAAGCATGTGGTTTGATATTCACTAATGCTAAATCTCTTTTTTATTAGATTTGTCTCTGGTTCTGTTAGATAGGCCTGGTGAACTGGTGAAACCTGCAGGTGTCCTGGTGATGGTGAATTGCTGAGTAGGTTACCTAGGAGTTAGGATGATTTGCTAACTACACTGGGCACATCACTTAGATGCAGTGATCTGGCTTCCTCTGCCAAAAGATGGGCCTCACATCATCTATGCTGCTTAAAACTCAGGTTACATACTTTATGGGGTTTTTAATTTGTTGTTAAAAAATAAAGGAGAAGCTACATAAAAAGACTACAGTCATCGCAGAGACCCCTGTAAGAACAAGTTCTTAGCCCCTGCAGCAGAAGGATAGAGATTTTCTCGCAGACATTTCTTCCTTGGATAACAGAAGCATGTTTTCATTAAGAGGGAAAGGAAAATAGCAGTCTGCGCTACCAAGTTTGTTTATCTTGCTCCATCACTCACCATTTATTCACACATCACTCATTCACTCAAGGCAGCATTCCACCAGGCCAGCCCCTCTGACAGACAGCACGTATCCAAAGACGGAAACCAAAGCATTTTACTCAGTGCTGAGTATCAGTGAAAACAGACTGTTAAAGATCACCTAAAAGGAACTGTAACAGTTTCCTAGTTTAGAAACATGGTCAGGAGGGAGCCATTTTATCTGTTTAGGACGATCGAAATGTAATTCATGGAGTGCCTGGCAGCAGCATAATGTTTGAAATTTCCAAAATAGTCATTTTTTTTTTTAAAAACTCCTCTTACTTTCTGGATTTCATGGCAGTTTTTCAAAGCACACAGTCTAGATGCGATTTCCATTGAGAGATAGTCACAAGGAAGCTGACACTCAGTGGGACAAGATTTCAAAATAGTGAATATACATACCCATCTCATGTCTGGTGCTGGCCACACCTGTGCCGTATCTTTCTAAAACCTCCTTGACTGTCCTCATAGAGTCGTTGTACTTGGATACGAGCCCGAGGAAGTTATAGGATCCCATGTTGATGACGTCTTTGATGACCCTTCCCGTAAATCTGCAGGGGGACATGAGAGTGGAACGCAAAGGGCTGTCTCATTGGCTTTCACTGCTGAGTCCCCCGTGGCCCTGGCTCTGGTCCAAATCACATATTTTCTTTTTAACTTGCACTATTGTCAGCATAGCATGGTGTTCCCTTAGAGGAAAGTGACTGCATAATGACACGGGCCTGAGTACTACAGAAAGCTCCCTGGAGCCGTGGTGTACAACTTCAGCCCTGATTTTCTTGGCTGCTCATTTTGATGACAACTGTGTATACAGGGAACCTTGTGAAAGAACAAGAGCCCTGGTAACCCCTGTGGCCTTCAGCAAAAAACATGAGGGCAGAAATTTGTCACAAGTGCTGACTGGAGCTCTGTCCACCTGGCTCCGCATGTCCCTTCTGATTCGTGTCTCATTTCAATGACATGTAAACAAGCCATCTTGGCCATTTGATGACTGTGGCTTGCTACATGAGTGCTAAGGACTAGCTTTGCATATCTCTAACCTGGTATCCATGATAGGATTCCCAGCCCCTCCTGGTGACCGCCTCACCTGAACGTCCAGTTATAGTCATCAGACACCCTCTCCATCATGTCAAAATGAGGTCCTGGGGCACTGCACACTGGCCGGTTCCAGTTGTCTCGGATCCTCATATAGAGATTGCGAGTATAAAAATTCTCAAAGTCTTGATACAGGGGCACAAAATCCTATTGTAAAAAAAGATAAGAGGTTAATTTTTGTTTCTCACAAAAAAAAAAAATGGAAAAGAGGGGAAAACCTTACATTCAGAAATGTATTTATCTTAAAGAAAGAGTGAAAGGACATCCATCTGTTGATTCTGTTCCCCTGACGTCCACAATGGTCAGGCCTGGGCTGAGGTAAAAGTAATGAAATGAAGAAGTTCCCCTGTGGGTAGAAGGAACCCAAACACTTGAGGCATCATTACTTCCTCCCAGGGTCCACATGAATGGAAAGTTACAATCAAAAGTAGAGCTAGACACTGAACTCAGGTACTCCAAGGTGGAATGTGGTATCTTATCCACTACGACAAAGGCCTGCCCCATTCGTTGCTCTCTCTCTTTATTTTGCATTTCGTGTAATTCGCAGGCAAGGGCAATATGTAGAAGAGCCGTGTAAACAATCCAGCAGCAGATCTGTGGTTTGGACAAGGGTCAGTGGGCAGTGTAACAAACGGGGTCCATGGGTGAGGTCTTTATGCTCAAAAAAACTTGTCCTGTGATGTGGAAGGTAATATATGTCATAAATCAGAGTAACAATGAGGACAGTACAATACATTACACATCCCATAAGAAGTGATAGAGATAAGAATTCTTTTTTTTTTTAAGATTTATTTTTATTATGTTTTTATTGGAAAGGCGGATATACAGAGAGGAGAGACAGAGAGGAAGATCTTCCGTCCGATGATTCACTCCCCAAGTGAGCGCAACGGCCGATACTATGCCGATCCGAAGCCAGGAGCCTCTTCAGGGTCTCCCACGCGGGTGCAAGGTCCCAAAGCTTTGGGCTGACCTCGACTGCTTTCCCAGGCCACAGGCAGGGAGCTGGAAGGGAAGCGGGGCTGCTGGGATAGAACCACCGCCCATATGGGATCCCGGGCGTGCAAGGCGAGGACCTAACCACTTGTGCCACCGTGCTGGGCCCTGAGATAAGAATTCTTGTAGGCTCCCTACCAGGGGAATATTCTAGAAGAATGACAACTGGTGTTTCTGTCTACCATAATTGATACAAAAATTAGCCAAGACAATCATTGGTATTAACTGTTGTATTCTGAATTGTCCCTGCTTGTTGCATTTTAGAAGTGTGGATGAACCTGAATTTTTGGACCTGCCAGCAAAATTGCTGTAAGCAGGTAGCTGGCTGTCGGGGGTTGAAGACCTGGAGATTGAGATGAGAAGCAAGAAGCTAATGGAGGCACCTTGTCTCTCTCTTACTTGAGGTTAACCCACCACTGGAGGGATCTGTGATCCACAAGGCATGTCCAATTTTATCATCTGGCTTAAAACAGTGTGAAGTAAAAAATGCCAAGAGTTACACCGATGGCCCAAGCCAAGTGCTTTGAACTTTTATGTGAGTAGGGTAGTGGGGAGAAGAGTCCCATGTGACATGCAGGAATGTTTGCAGAGGGCACCCAGGGTGAATGGGTGTGTGGGTTGGAAGTATGGAGTGTATTGAAGAATGAGTATGAATCAAACTTAAGGTATCTGTGGCCATTCTTTCTCAGAGCCCACGGCAGCTCTGACTTCACTTCCATTCCAAGGTCTTGATCTGTCTGGTTTCTGGTTATCTCTGTGCACCCCCTCCTGTCTACTCTCTCTAGCGTGCATGAAGTTGCCATGTTATCTGAGAACAGATGGTGGGAGTCTCAGCCATTCTGTAGGTAACAGGGCAAAGGGAATAGTTAGTAGTGAGTTTTCCTGAGCTCCCTGCTCTCCTGTACTTTGTGAAATGGACTTGCTTTCCTAAAAACAAAGAAGACTGTGGCAAAAGTCTTTGTAGAGGCGCTCCTGATGCTATGGCTTTGACCGACCTGTCATCCTCTGGGGTGACTCACTGCAGAGGAAAATAAAGGGAGGCTGCAGATTTGGAAGGCAGGAGGCTGTATCCAAGCCACAGCCCTTTCTATCACTTCATCCTCTGATCTTCAGCGAGAAGGGCATCCTTTCCTTTGAAAATCTCACAATCTTACACCAAACGTGGGCCCTCCAATCAGCTTTGACACAGGCTTTGTTCTGACTTCAAACTACAAGTTCATGATAATTATATGGCCCTTTCATGTTCTCACAGTTCAAAAGACCAATTAAAAAATTGTTATTATTATTATTTTGATGATCTTTACATATTTGATTAGGGTGCAAAAGGTCAGTGGCTACAGGAAAGTGGATAAACCATTATTTCCACATTTTCTTTTTTCCTTCGTGTATCTGGTGGAAGAGGGGAAACAAAGGGAGAAGCCACACCCACCCCCCAAGCATCCCAGGTTCCCCCATGTGGGGCATGCTCCGAAAGCACTGCTCAATTGGTTTCGATAGTTCAACTGTTCTGAATTGCTGCCAAGCTTGCCATCCCAAGCACGATGAAATATCTCCAGAATCCAGTGGCTGACATAGTCCACCTTAGAATCTCTGCTTGCCCAGATTTTCACTGCCAATACTTGGCTGGGGTAGTTGATCAATGTGTTCTGTTCTCTGTAATGGTACCAAGTGTTCTCTGCAGGTTCTAATGTACTACCATATCCTCCATGTGCACCTGCATATGCTGTCCACCGTTCTGTCTAAGCCACTGAGGAGGCCCAGCTCTGACACATGCACTACACGGTCAGACCATGGAACCTACAATTCTCTTCATGGTTGGGGTTCTGAGTTTAGCAGTTCAGTTGGGGGGATCCCCAAAGAAACTGAGGTGATCCCAGACCTCATTCTTGTGTGTATCTACAATAGAGGGTCTAGCACAGACCATCGCCCCAATCAGCCTATGCATATGTTGGTGGTTACAAGTGCTGGGTTAGTTCGCCCTCCTGCCCTGCAAAAAACCGCTTTCTGAGATGGCTCATTTCTGAACTATTTCCCATTGACTTAATGTTGTCTCTTTCACACTGTTTGTGTTTTGTGGATTACTTGATGCTAAGCATTATTTGTGTCCATATATAACTCTTAAAAGCCTTACTTGAAATGATTATATATATATGTGTACACACACACACACACACACACACACACACACATATACATACATCTAACAAGGAAAAAGAAATAGGTCCATAAATAGTATTTTGGGACTCTGAGATCTGCACTTTGTCCAGCCTTTAGCTTCACCTATGTTGCTAGGCAGGGACTTCAGAGCAACTGCAGGCTCACTTCACCTTGCTCCCCATTCAAACACAGGTGAAGAGATAAAAACCTAACATGCCAACGAGAAAACTAAGCCCCACAGCTCACTAGACTCTGATGGAAGTGACAGCTGGTCCCTAAGTTGGAGTGGTGTCCCCATATCCTGCCTTATTAAGACACATCATCCTGGCTACCTGAGAGAGGATGAGGACCACGTCCTCCTGCCCAGGATCTCTGCCCCCACACACAGATTCAGAATTTGTTCCTATGGACAGGTGAGCAGCTTCCTCTTTACTGTATCAAATGCTTTGAGGGCAAGTTTCAGGGATTTAAACCTGTCTTGTGGGATGAGGGTGCTAGGAAAGACATTCACATTCTGTCAAAATTATATGAATTGGGGGTGCAGTAATGTAGTAGCTAGGGTCCTCACCTTGCATGTGCCAGGATCCCACATGGGTACCAGTTCATATCCTGGCTACTCTGATTCCCATCCAGCTCCCTGCTTGTGGCCTGGGAAAGCAGTGGAGGATGGCCCAAAGCCTTGGAATCCTGTACCCACATGGGAGACCCAGAAGAAGCTTCTGGCTCCTGGCTTCAGATTGGCTCAGCTCTGTTTGCTGTTGGGGTCACCTGGGGAGCGAATCAGTGGATGGAATATCTTCTTCTCTGTCTCTCCTCCTCTCTGTATATCTGACTTTCCAATAAAAATAAATATATCTTTTTTTTTTAAGAAGTTGTATGAATAAAGTGCTTGTGAGTCTCCTAGGAAAAGGAATGCTGGAGGTTTTTGTTTAGCTACACGGAGTTATTTCTCTGCACACAATGCAAGTCCCAGCTGGAACCTGATAGGCCGTCTATATGCTCCCAAGGAGACCAGAGCTTGGGAACTCGCTTCGACTTCCAGATCCGGTTTGGGCCTGTCCTCTTCTTCCCACCTGTGTGACTTGCTCCCTCGTCTGGGTGTACTCCACCCCATTCCTTCCAGCAGTAGGGAGCCTTCTGCAGGACCTGCCAACACTTCTGAAAGGTCAATGTCCTCTAGCCTCAGGCAGGTTTCCCACAGTGTTTTAACTAGAGCAAAAAATGAAGCTGAACTTGATCTTTCATAACAAGAAGCATTGCAGGAGGACATATCTTTATCTGTAGAAGTAATTTGTTATGCTCACTACCTTTTGTTTTTCTTTCTGACACAAGTGACTAAATATAGTAGGGAACTTGGAGTCATAAGGACTTAACCATTTAACAGGTAGGGTAGAAAAAAGGGTGAATTCAACCTAAAAATATATCTAGAAAAAAAAATGGGCTTTTAAAATTTGCAATGTGACACTTTCTTTTTTCTACCTTTATACTTGTAATTTATAATTTTCTAAGTATTAAAGATGGTTCTACCACATTTACATACATAAAGAGGCAGTACCTTAGTGGACTTTTGCAAATTAAGAATTATACCCAGGTCCCAAACCAATGCTTTTCTAATAAACCATGCTGCAGGACTTGGTGCTTAGAGAGAATTGAAAAGAACTTCTGGTATACCAGAATGTGTTCTTCTTGTTTGATTTAACCACACTCCCATTCTGCAGCAGCTAGAACCATGGCTTTATACAAAGAGATAACATCACCATATTCATTCCTGTCCACACTGACCCTTCTCTCACGGCACATTTTTTAATATTTCTTTAAGGAAACTATTTTTTTTTCTCTCTCTTATCAAAATGGAGCTCAAAATAACAGAACAGCTTCGTGCTTTCTTCCCTTTAGTTTATGGCAAGGGTGATTACCCAGCTAATTTGAAATATGAGAAATCCGAAGCAAAAGTAGCAAAAATTTTGATTTCTCAAGGGATTATATGGGCATTAAAT